GTGTGTGTGTGTGTGTGTGTGTGTGTGTGTGTGGTGTGTGTGTGTGTGTGTGTGTGTGTGTGTGTGTGTGTTGTGTGTATGTATGTATGTATGTATTATATATATGTATGTATGTATATATTATATATATATATATATATATATATATATATATATATATATATATATATATATATATATATATATATATATATAATATATATATATATATATATATATATATATATATATATATATATATATAATATATATACATATATATACACACACACAAACGCACATGCACACACACACCAGACGGCCGGCCAGCGCCAGGCGAAGGCAGCAGCGGCGCGAAAAGAGAACCGACAAACAAGCGCAGCAAAGGAAGCGCGCGACACCGAGGCCTCAGTCCCCGAGCGGCGCCGGGGACGACGGTCCGGACGGACGGATCACGCCACTTCACGGACCTTTCTAAGCTGCTGCGCCGGCCGACAAGAGGCCATAATGACACCATTCAGAGCTACAAGTCGGGCCAATCACACGGAGGCGCGCGGCTGCCGTTGCTGCTGCATCCCCTGCAACAAGCGCCACCGAGGGCGGCAGACGCGCCTCGTCCCCCTCGCCCCGCCCTCCTCCTCCTCCCCCGGGAGAAATGGTGGTGCGGAATAACGCAGAGAGAGGAAGCGAAGGAGAGGAGGAGAGGGGGAGTGGGTGAGGAAGAAATGGAGGAGCAGGAATTGAAAGGAGGAGAGAGGGGGAGGGGAGAGGAGGAGAGGTGAGGGAGAAGAATGAAGAGAGAGAGAGAGAGGAGAGGGAGAGGGGAGGGGGGAAGGAGGAGAGAGAGGAGAGAAGAGAGGGAGAAAGAGAGGAAGAGAGAAGGAGAGAGGGGGAGGAGGGAGGGAGGAGGAGGAGGAGAGGGAAGGGAAGGAGAGGGAGAGGAGAGGGAGAGAGAGAGAGAGAGGAAGCAGAATGCAGAGCACATAGCTAGTTTAACGCTATTGACACAAAACGGATTGTTCATTCCGCCGCTCTCTGAAGAACACGTGACTGGCCACACCGAAGGGCCTTATTAAAGTCATGTTACTTGGCAGCCTCCGAGGACAATGCTCAGGATTATGGAAATATTCTACGTTCGTCACGAGAAAGTCGAAGCTTCCTGCGATGGCGTCTGCTTCCTCGTCCGGTACGTGAGCACACACACGCGCGAGGAGCCGTGAAACGAAGTGATAAATGAACGCACGCGCGCAACTTTTTCTCTTTCTCTCTCTCTCTCTCTTCTCCTCTTTCTTTTCTTTCTCTTCTCTCATCTCTATTCTCTCTCTATGTTACTTAGTAAACTTACTCACCCACATACAACACACAACACACACACACACACACACACACACACACACACACACACACCAACACCAACACACAACACAACACACACACACAACAAACACACACGCAACAAACACACACCACGCACAAACACACACACACACTCCAAAAGCCAGCACGGTCCCAGTCTTGCTTTCTCTCTCCTTATATTGTTACCGACCTTTTCTCATTTTTATTCGACCTCTCACCCCCTCCCCCCACAGGCTCCCTCCACCTCAATTTCTTCCTTCCTTCGTAACACTCCTTCAGCCTCCCCTCTCGCCCTCCCTCCCCATCCCCCACTCCCTCCCTTCATCTTGGTCTCCTTACCTCCTTTCTTTCCTTGAGACCCTTTCTCCCCCCCCCACTAACTCCATCCTCTCTCTACATCTTAGTTTTCTGACCTCCCTTCCTTTCCCTTCTCTTCCTTTCCTTTCTGTTTCCTTTGCGCTTTCCCTTATTTTTTTCTTCTCTCCTTATCTTTTCCCTTCTTTCTTCCCCATTCCTCATAAGCCTTCTCATTTCCCCCTCCCTTCATCTCAATCGTCTTACCTTCCTTTTATCTTTCCTATCGCTCTTTCCACCTCCCTACACATTCCCCTCTGCCTCCTTTCCTTCCCTCTCAAAATATTATTTGACTACAGATAGCCTTTCTTCCTGCCTTCCTTTCCTCCTTCTCTCTTCCTTCCTTCTCTTCCTTCCTTCCTTTCCTCTCTCTCTCTCCAACCCTCCCTTCCCTCCTTCCTTCTTTCTTCACTCCCTCTCTCCTTCCTTCCTCCTTCCTTCCTCTCTCTCCCCTCCCACCCTCCTTCCTCCCCTCCTTGTCTCCCTCCTCCTCACCCTTCCCACTCTTATCCCACTCTCTCTCCCACACGCCCTCGCAACAACCTCCGCCCCCCCCCCCCACACCACCCCGCCATACACCTTCAAGCCCTGAATTCACCCCCCCACCCCACCCCGCCCTCTCGTCACCCGCGTCCAAGAGGCATCGATCCTTTCTTGGAGGTCAATATACAGAATCTCCTTAAGTAGCGACACGTCAGTATAATCCACGAAGCTCTCCTCCAGCGTACGGCGAGTGGGAAGGTGGACGGGGCAGAGTAAGTGGGTTGACTGGGTCCGTTCGTAGGCGGGGGGCGGGTGACACGTGGGCGGGGGTTGACTGTGTAGGTGGTGTGGCAGGTGGGCGGGGGTTGACTGTGTTGGTGGGTGGCAGGTGGGCGGGGTTGACTGTGCAGGCGAGAAGCTGGGTGGGTGGATGTGTGACAGGTGGGCGGGGGTGAACAGGGTACATGGGGTAGGGATTGACTGGGTTGCTGAGAGGCAGGTGGGCGGGGATGACTGGGTTGGTGGGTGAGGGTTGAATGGGGAAGTGGGCGGGGTTGACGGTGTGGGACAAAAGTAAGAGGGAGAGCAAAACGTAGAGAATAGGAGAGGGAAGACGAAAAAAACAGGAAAAAAAGGAAGGAGAGGGAAAGGGAGAGCGACAGGAACAGGAAGAGGGAGAGGGAGAGGGAGGAAGGAGAGGGAGAGGGAGAGAGGGGAGGTAAGGGGGAGAGGGAGAGGGAAAGCGACAGGAGCGCGTACAGGAAGAGGGAGAGGAGAGCGACTAGGAGAGAAAGATGACAGGAAGAGGGGAGAGAGGGGAAGGTAAGGGGGGAGAGGGAGAGGGAGCGGGACAGGAAGAAAGAGAAAAAGGAGAAGGAGACGCAGAAGAAAAGGGAACAAGAGAAAGGGGAGAGGAGTAGGGAGAGGGATAAAGAGACGGAGAGAAAAATAAAGAAGACAGGCAAGGGATGGCAAGAGGAAGCATAAAAGATGAAAAAAGCAGAAAAAGACGAAAAGAAAATGAAAGAGATAACGAGGGAAAGTAGGAAGAGAGTGTGAATCAGTAAAGTTGCAAGTAAATAAGCAAACCAATATGGATGTCTTACAGCGACTTTATGAATTAAACATCTGCTGGCTCTACATCATCACACCACAAGTTCTACGGATGAATAGTAAAAAGATTTATTGGCAAAGTAATGCCGCAGAATCGGAGACAGGCAAATATGACACGGAAAATCGGCATGGAGCAGCAACAGTAACCAGATGGCAACAGGACGAAGGTAACCGTGGACAGAAGAGAGAAATTTTGTGTTGAAACCGAGCTGTTATAACGCAATGGTGGGGGGTCTTGAGTGTAGCGGTTTACACTGGTCAACTCGGGGTCTATTTTGTACTCTAGCAGAATCAACAACTAAGGGACTTTTGGTAATCACTTTTTTCATGTTGCAACACCAATGCAACTGTTGCAACTCGTTCAACTGTACAAATGACGGTTGGTGTTATAAAAGTCACATCACGTCATTTCATATTTTCTTGCAGCATCATTCTACATGAAAAGGAAGACTAAAAAAATAACAACAACAGAAATACACAGGGAAAATAACTATCACCTGCTCCTGTGCTGCGTACTCTGGAGATAAGGAGAACCTGATACGAACACTACATTAAGAACCGCCAACAGGGGCCTGAACGAAGCTCTAATTGGTATTCCTCCGACGCTAATCAAGCCGCTGGAAGACTGCGACACGAACCACGCACACAGATAAAATACAAAACCACACGGACGCAACCATACAACACACGAACGCAGAAAATACATACACGTACGGACACACGGACACACCACACACACACACACACACACAGGGAGGGACAGGAGGGAGGGAGGGAGGAGGGAGGGCAGGGAGTGAGGGAGGGAGGGAGGGAGGAGGGGGATGGGAGGGAAGGGAGGGACGAGGGTAGGGAGGGAGGAGGAGAGGGAGGGAGGAGGAGAGGGGAGGGAGGGAGGGAGGGAGAGATGAGATAGAGATGACGAGAGAGAGAGAGAGAGCGAGAGAGAGAGAGAGAGAGACAGAAGAGAGAGAGAGAGAGGGAGGAGAGAGAGAGAGAGGGAGGGAGGGAAGGGAGAGAGAGAGAGAGAGAGAGAGAGAGAGAGAGAGAGAGAGAGAAGAAGAGAGAGAGAGAGAGAGAGGAGAGAGAGAAAGAGAGTTAGAGAGGAGAACAGACATGAGAGAGGAGAGAAGAGAGAGAGAGAGGAGAGAGAGGAGAGTGGAGACGACATTGCCAGACTTTTTAATGTCTTTCTATTCTTACACATCTAATTCTGCCAGACTTTATATTTTCTCTCTCTTTCTATTCAAACACATCTCATTAAGAGATAAACAAGGTAAGACAATGACAATTTAAAACAAAATAGCAATAGCAATGAAAAAAATAATACCTAAAAATACCCATCCTGTCTTAAAACAAAGCAAAACGAAACAGGCAGTCAGAACAACACTTTCTTCCTTACACACAAAAACAGGCTTTACAGTCATGACCAGCAATTTATCTTAAACACTGAAGATCTGTGTAAAGAGTTTTTACATCCACTTTAAATCATCCCCTTTCTCTTCTCAGATAATTTTTTTGATGTTTGGTGAATTTTTCTTTTTTTGTTGTCTAAATTAACACTTTTTGTCTATTAATGTGTATATCACCTTGACCATGTACAATCTGGTATTATAAAAAAGTCCAAAATAAAAAAATAGAAATAAAAATGCACTCAATCATTTTAAGGTCAACCACAGTGCTGCATACAATTGCACAAATCAAGGACTTCTTAATAAAACAAGACTGTTCTTAACCTATGATCTTACATAAAATATAATCTAATCTTGTGCAAGGTGGTAAGGTCAAATCTTGAAGTAAACATAAACATAAAGAAAAAAAGAAAGAAAGAAAGAAAAAAAAAACAGAAAAGAAAGAAAAAAATACTATCTCTTTATCATTCCTCCCCTAAATTAATCTTTCTGTTTATCATCAATAACTTAAGTAAAAAGCTAGTCACTATTGTTCACTACAATCCCTTAAAAAGAAAAAGTCAAACAATTTCATGACCTTCAGCCAGGGCAAAAACAATCTTCAAGGTTATATATACAATTTTTCTCCATTTTGAGTCCCAAAAAACTAAATGGTAATCTAGTAATGGGCATAAAGTCTTAGCGAACTGCATAACGAAACCTAAATACAATAATGACCAACACCAAACATAATGTTGGATTACTAAAGATTACAGTTATAATAATTGCTTACAATCTGCCAGGTCTATGAGTTCTGCAGTATCATCTGCTAAAATTGTAAGATGTGTTATTATCCTACCGTGTCTCATTATGAAATAATGTGTGTGCATGCGTGTGTGTGTGCATATGCGTGTGTGAGTGTGTGATGATATAATATATAATATAAACATATATATATATATATATATATATATATATATATATATATATATATATATATATATATATATATATATATATATATATATATATTATATATTCATTTCTTTATTTACACACACACATACACCTACACACACACACACATATATATATATATAGAGGGAGGGAGGGGGGAAAGGGAGAGAGAGGGAGGGAAAGAGGGAAAGTAGAAAGAGGAAAAGAGGGAGGAAGGGAGGGAGAGGGAAAGGAGGAGAGGAGGAGATGGAGAGGAGGAGATGGAGAGGAGGAGAGATGGGGAGGGGAGGAGAGAGGAGGAGAGAGGAGAGAGAGGGAAAGAGAGGAGAGAGAAAGAGAGAAAGGAGAAAGAGAGAAGAGAGAAGAGAGAGAAGAGAGGAGAAGAGAGAGAAGGAGAAGAGAGAGAGAGAGAGAGAAAGGAGAAGAGAGAAGAAGAGAGAAGAGAGAGAGAGAGAGAGAGAGAGAGAGAGAGAGAGAGAGAGAGAGAGAGAGAGAGAGAGAGAGAGAGAGAGAGAGAGAGAGAGAGAGAGAGAGAGAGAGAGAGAGAGAGAGAGAGAGAGAGAGAGAGATTTAAGATTTAGAGAGGGAAGAGGGTAATGAAGATGAAGGGAAAATGAGAGGGAAAATATCTAAATCTGACTAACTGCAACAATGTTTCTCAATATCCAATTCCCAAAAGATCAATATCAGTCCCGTGGAAAATTTGCTGGAATGTAATAATTCACTCGCAACATATCATTACTGTCAATGTCACACTTCCTCATTTGCATGGCTCATTTTTCAGTTTCACATTTTCTCCTCACAATACTTTTACAACCCTCATGACACGCATTAGCTTTTTGATAATATTTCAGCATCATTTCTTCTTTTAATTTCCTCAGTTTTGATAATAAATTATGATAAATGATTATCTATTTCACTCATTAATCATCATTCATAGCTGACACTATGATGAAAAACCTACATGCTTTCCAATACAACATATGCATAATAGGAAATATTTGGCAATCTCTATACAGCACAGAAAATATTACTTTCTTCACTGTAACCATTGAAGGGAATCATAACACTTCATCTAAACGAGATAATTGGCCATGCTTTGTATTTAAGTACTTCAAAAACGTAATTCTTAAATTTTATTATGAATTACATATCTTTTTATGACAATAAAAACAAAGTAAACTGATAAAAAAAAAAATCAATAAATAAATCAATAAATAAAAAGCATGTACCAGATCACCTCCTCCTAGCCCAAACAGGATAATGTTTGGGATTCCAACGAAAGAAAGGTCTCCTTCTCCGCTGGCGTTCTTCTGTGGTCTCTCCTCGATGACTTCTAAAGAGCTCCATGACTTTTGACAGTGGTGTTGATCTGGAGGCAAGAAAGTAACATGTCATCCATGAATCACCTCTTTTAAAACTAGACACTGGATTATCTTCAACTATCACACAAGAAAAATCAGTCAGCAGGCAAAGATGCAAGGCTTTGAATTCACCTAGAACTGTCAGGTGTACGATTCCTTATCTGCAGGTTGGGGTGAGGCGCTCCTGCATGCCAAGTGTGGTAGACATCATCTCCAGGTTGCTGTTCAACTGGTGTTGCATCACCACTTCGGCGCCCACCTCGGCTGCTGCTGCTTGGTGACACTAGCGATTGCTGTAAACAATCAGTGCAGGTGATAATTTAGTAAATGCCTTTCCTTCATTTCCTCCTACCATAATAAAAGCTCCTTAAAATCAAGCAGTGCTCTATATATTGTGAAAAAAGATGATTGTACATCCTCCCACATTTCACATGGACCTTCTTCTTAATCAGTGTGAAAGTAAGTAATACAACATCTACGTAATGATGAGAACAACATAATGATCATGCATAAGTTTCTTTCCATGGACTGTCTATTCCAGTGTTTCAGTTTGAAAGTTGACTTGTGGACATTATGCAGAGTAGGACCTGTACCAAAATGACATTTGCAAGTAACATTTACTTTTATCTTGGAGGTGTAATTCAAAACCTACTTTTTGCCAAAAGTGCAATAATGAGTTTTCTACACAAAAATTTGCATTTCTAAAATTGAAATGATAACAGGTGTTAATAAAAGAAAATAAGTAACAAAATATAGCAATCCTGTACTATGATATAATCTAATCATACCTTCACTTATCACAAATATAAACAAACATAAAATTTATCATATCTAACAACTCATTTACATTAATATAGATATGCATAAGGTAAACTTGAGAGCATGGTATTTAAGTCAGGGATCAGCAGTTTTTAAAGCTAATAATACACAATGGAAGAATTATGAAGAATAAATATAGAACTGTACATTTTTCACATTCAGGAGAAGTTGAAGAATCTAAATAGAATAGCAATTTGTAAGAAACATATGAAAGAAGCTGAAAAGTTTGTGTAATGGTATAGAGCAAAAGTGTTCTTATGTGAGCACTTTGCTCAAAATATAGTAAAACTGGTAATTTCAAAAAACAGTTCCCATGTTCCTAATTGTTGGTTTTAGAAGTCGTCCATGTGTACATATTCATAAACATGCAAAGAAGTGGGTGAGTGCCCCCCGCCCACACACACACAGATTGATAGCATGTCTCAGAACTTACTAATCAATAAAAGCTATAATTCTATCTGACTTTATGAGCAAATACTGATATAGTAATATGTAGATATAAAAGGATAGATACTAAAAGAGGCCAAGAGATACATGTGTGTTTAAATATAAGCATAAATACATAACCTAACAGGTCCATTGATACACAGCCATTCACTGGGAGATCAGTTACTCAATGTACCAGGGGAAATAATAATTTAACAGTAATAATAATGATAATCTGACCTTAACCACACTCATTAAAAAAATACTAATCCAAATGTATATTGATTTGTGAGGTTAATGCATTACAGTAAGTTAAATCAAAATACCAATAATTCTTTTTATCGTAATTTTTCTCTAACACAACCCATTGCTCTCTCCTGTATGGTGACTGTTAATGGACAATTTCTTATCATGCTGAAGCATCAATTTTTTCACATCAAAGTTAAGCAATTTACCAGTACTGAAAAGAAATTAAACTGCAACATATTACATGTTGGGCTTGAAAAGTCATTTCCAATTGTTCTTCACTAAAGTCAGATTATAATAATTATTTTTTCCTTGTCACAGTGTGTGCTTCTTTCCTGGTAAATATTGTAAATTGTCCCCAGTGTTAAAAGGCTAAAAACACCAATATATTATCAGATAAAACATCACTTTTAGAAGACTGAAATACAGAAAAGTGAAAGGGGGGGGAAGATGAATCATGAATTCATTCAGAGGAGTTTTTAAAGGACAACTCAAAATACTGGAGTGTCCAGACTTTTACCTCTAAAGGGCTGAAATGTGAAGAAAGATCATCCAAGAGTTGTGATAAATACTCATAATGCAGGGTGATAAGCAATGATAAATGAGGATTGCACTAGGTCACTAAAAGAGGATTTATATTCACATGGCCATACATATTTAAATAAATTCTTTAAAACATATTCACCACACAGTGACTTAAATCAGGTATATAAATATAAAATAAAATAGAATTAGAAAATATAAAAAGAGGCAGGAATATTTTGAAAGACACTGAATATTAAGTTTACATGTATTTCACACAGTCTTAAAAGATTCTTTTGTGCAGAGGATATAAGATTAATGATCTAAAAAAAGTTACTAACAAATAATATATGTGGGATTAATATGAAGCAAAGGATTCCAAAATTTGGAATAGCAGGAATATGCTCATAAATCCAAAACATCTCTTGACGGAAAAGCTATTGAAGAAATTCAACCACAGCCACTTCCGTACTGCTTGACTTACCCTTAGTTTCCTCTTCCATCTTTAAATAAAACTAAATATACACAGACCAGTTTGTGCTTTTGTTTCTACATGTAAACTATATAATTATAACAGTAAGAGATAAAGATAAAATAATTCAACTTTACTTAGGAATAGACTGGTAACATGCAAAACTAACAAGTCAATACAGGATGAATGCATATGAAATATTGTGAATATAAATATGAAACATATAATATGGGGCATGTAAAAAGTAAAAACTGACATGAAAATGTTTCTGTATGAAAGTATTCTAATGAATTTATTATAAATCAGAATCATATTTCATATACATACTCAATACAACATTGCTAATGTGGATATCAATTCATGATGGAAAATTAAATACTGGCAATTATTACATATTGACAAAGTACAACATAAAAACAATACAGTGCAAATGTAAGGCAGCTCAAATAATAAAAAGCATATGCAAAATAGACTGGCGGCTAACTGCAAATAACATAAATGTATTTATACATATCTTTATTGCCTGGCAAATCATAGCAAATGCAGAAAAGTTCATCAATGAGTAGTAGTATTCCTAAGTACACCTCTTCAACAGTAGCTCTAGATTTCACAAGTCATCTTTGGCAGAGATCAGCAAAGACATACAAGCTGGTGCAAATTATATGGTTCCATTGAAGGTGGAGATCAGGGCCTGCAGAGGCACACTCTCCACTCACTTTGAGGTTAAAGGCAAGTACAATTATGGTGTACTTTTTCATTAGATGTATATTTTTCTTTATTTTTCAATAATGGAAGATAAAAATGTATCTTCTTGCATTCTTTATCTGTATTATTCTCCTACTCTCTCTCTTAAGAATCTAGGCAACGTTGTAAATCAGTAAAACAAGTATGAAGAATGCGGAATGCTAAGCAGGAAAATAACTGGTAAAAAAACATAAATAAATAAATAAGAGTGTGCCTCAGTAGCCTCTCAGCACACCAGCAGAAACGCTTGCCTACAAAGGCCGACTGCCGCTGCCACCTAACCTGACAGGACTTGGAGAAGCGACCCAACATCAACTGCCTCTCTCGTCGCTGAGCCTCTCGCTCCCTCCTCCTACGTTCCTTTTCATCACTCCAGCTCTATAGGTTGCAGAGGGACGAGGAGATGCATGGACGATTTTTGGTTGTTCAGCCATGCAGGTTGGGCAATGATTGCGTAATGGTGGAGAAGGTATATCCAGTTGTTAATCTCAAAAGCAATTAAAGAAAAGAAAAAGCTCGTAAAAGGAATCGAATGATCAGATTACCGACAACCACCAGTTATCATGATGAATGTGTCAAATGGCTACGAGGTATTTGGGATGTGCTAGTTCACTCAGGTATTAAGCTGAGGACAAACATTAAAGTCAGTTCAACAGGGGAATGCTGTAACAATTAGAAATAGGTACATATAATCCATAGGTAGAAGACACAGATATCCCCATACATGAACCTTGTTCTTAGTGTTATATGACATCATCACTAAAAAAAGAAATAAATAAAAAGAGGGTGGCCACATGATTACATATCATTTCACTTCATAACACATGGTATTCCACATCCCTCATAAAAAAACGTCAGTAAACATACATGTTCTGAATATCAAATAACTTGAAATAATGCATTATTCAACTTTCAAGCTGAATTCATCTACAGGTACGTCTTCTGGAGAAAATGTATCAAATTACATTCATACTCAAATATTTTAAGTATAATTTATTTTCCTAAACTTTTCCTAATCATAAACAAAAATATGCCCTCACATTATACATACAGTACCAATCTATATTTAGGGGATTTTTGTATCCAGTCAATATCAATAAACTTTCAGCATACCTTTAACAATACACCTACTCTTCCTATGAGATAAATTGATATATCTAGCAGTGACACAATCCCTTCTGGATGTCCATTTTACTTAATCTTAATCTGTCAATAACAATATAATACTTTTCACAACTTTCCATCTTGTTGAACTAAAAGTGACAGGGAAAGAAAAATTATAAGATTACACAAAATCAGCGACAGTAAGACATGATGTTATATATACAGAGGAAAATATTCTTTATTGTACTATATAATTCTTCTTCTATTATCTCTACTCAATCATATACATTTTCATAATATTTTTGTGATTATAAATCTCATATGTACACATCACACTTTTTTCTAAGGGAAACAAGAATAGACTTATTGTAAGGTATAATTCCTTAAACAATTTTCTTATTCTGAACTCCAGAATGAAGTTCAAGTAGAATTCTCTCAGTAAATTTGCATCATAATAAAATTTCTTTCATTGGGATAAAATATCTGATATCTTTTTCTTTGGAAGATTATAATCAATATCAGCAATCTTTACAAAAGTTACATCTTACAGAAATTATATATCAGAATACAAATGCTAAATCTTATAGCCTATAAAATATCTGTAACTACTTTTCAAACTTTTCACGCAGGAAAACCAATTTGAATTCTTAAGCTCCAGCAATTCTGAAGGTTGAGTTCTCTTTCAGAAAATTGAAAGAAAATTCTCAGCCTTTTACAAGTAAATTGCTAAATTTTTCAAGAAAATGACTAATTTTTCGAGATTCATCTCAGAAAATGAAAAGAAAAAAAAATATTAGTAACTATTATTTTCTATTCTAGCCTTTATTTTTTGTTATATTCTTATCTGCCAAAGATAGACATATATCATCCTCAAAATCTTTAACCCAGTAAGGTACTGATTAGATCACTAAAGATATTAAAATCCAAAAAAAAAAAAAAAAAAAAAAAAAAAAAATAGAAAAGCTCTTTTTTTAAATCCACATACAAGAACAATTTCAACTGTTATGCTTATATCTCTCTCTTGTAATTCTATTCAATAAATATGCTGTAAATTCACTTTTGCATCCTCCTCCCAAGCCAAATGACAATTATCAATGACATCAATAAATCTAGCTGTACAAACATATAATTGTCACTATCATGCAATACTCATGCAGTAATAAAAGCATGTGAAGTAAGCTTTATACTCTCTTTTCAAAGCTGTTTTCCAGACTAGTAAATGCATTAGTATAATAAATTTTAAAATCAAGTGTGCATCTATAAATAAATATATATTTTGGTAAGCAATCTAATTGTAGTGACACAATTTGTACTTCTAGCTATCAAAAGCTTTTGCGGAATTCCCCTGAACCAGTTGAAATCTAATCTAATTTAACACATTTTCCATTATCAAAACATAAAATAAAAATTTAAACTTGGAAATTTAAACTGAAATGCTTTTCTTAAATGTCAAACAAGGTTTTTTTTTTAAGAATTACTTTTAATGAAAAATCACCTCAATGTTCACATATGACAGCCAAACAAAAAGAAAAAAATCATAAACAAACAGAAAAGGTTATTAAACAGAGATAAATAAATACATAAATAAAATATATAACAAAAATAAAGGCCATAACAATGCAATGCATATGTGTTGCTGTGTGTACTTATACATATATATATATATATATATATATATATATATATATATATATATATATATATATATATATATATATATATATATATATATATATATATATATATATATATATATATATATATATATATATATATATATATATATATATATATATATATATATATATGTAATGTAAAACATAATACCTAAAATTTCTTACATTAGTTATTTCAGTGTATGGTGACTCACAATATATGAAATAATTATATTTCAATTCAAAACTGGTTCAGAGGTAATGCCAAAGAATAAACTAATTTATCTTTTAATAACTTTAATGACTATTTCTCTTGTTATGATCCATTCTTCTTACATTTGTAAATGATATGATAAAACGAGACCATGATAAAATAACTTGACAGTTAATTACAATTTAAATAAATTGATGAAAACTACACTTTCTATTTTATTTCTTTTTGCAAAATAAAACTGTTCTCCATCTTTAAAACATTTTTTTTTAAGAAAGCATAAAACAAAAAGGACTTCTTTTCTTTTTCCTTTGTAAATTCTTCTTTTCTTTCCTTCCTGGCCCTTTCTTTTAGTGTCTTAATCATCTATTTGTTCATATTATTCTGCATTCCAAAATAAAGTAAATCCTTCCTAAGTTTTCTGTCTTGTTTTCATTGGTAATACATACATACATATATATATATGTATTATATATATATATATATATATATATATATATATATATATATATATATATATATATATATATATATATATATATATATATATATATATATATATATATATATATATATATATATATATATATATATATTATATATATATATATATATATATATATATATATATATATATATATATATATATATATATATATATATATATATATATATACATATATACATATATTATACATATATATACATATATATATATATATATATATATATATATATATATATATATATATATATATATATATACATATATATATATATATATACATATATATATATATATATATATATATATATATATATATATATATATATATATATATATATATATATATATATATATATATATATATATATATATATATATATATATATATATATATATATATATATATATATATATATATATATATATATATAGACCTTAAAATAAAGAGAATGAAAATATAGAGAGAAGACAATATGGAAAGTTGTATTGACTCATATGACCATTTTCTCCACAGAATTATGAATAATTTCACCAACTTTGTTTACATCAATAAATGTGTTTAAAATCTAATAACAAACTGAAAAATAAACCATATGTTATATACTATTACATCTTCTATACATGATTAAATTAACAAAATCCATACAGTATAATTTATAACAAAAATCATTAGACAATAATCTATACATGCCCTGTCTCTCCCTGCCTTTATCAAAGTAAAATAACTATCACTAAAATTAGCTATTAATAACAAGCCTCTTCCCCTCTGTAACTCCATGCAATATAATGTCTTGAGATTGTAAGTGCACTCAAAACTTCTTGCTACCTACGAGAGATAACGAACTGCAAACACACCTCAAAGAACAAAAACCATAAAACAAGTTAATAAATAAATACAAGAATTAAAAAAAAAACATATAAACCATTCACTGCAATATCAAAATCCTGCAAAAATAGAAGAAGAAGAAAAAAAAAAATCAACGTCAGACAAGATTTGCCATTCCAAACAAATCATCCTCACCTGAACGGCATTCTTCATGGTAGTCATCAGGTTGGGTTTCTTGGCCAGGCGAGATGAGGCATCAGACTTCGACCTAGGGCGTGTGATGTAGTCAAAGAACCCAGCCGAAGTCTCCTTTTTCTTCTCCTTTTCCTTGGCTGATGTGTTAAGGACATCATCTCCTGATTTCCTCCTCTGACGTGCTGCCACTACAAGAAAAATATACATGTATAAGTCTTAAGTGTTCCACTGATCATAAAAGAACTCTCTGCCTTTCTTTTTCTTCAGACATTTAGCTGTTGATCTTTCTAAATAAATGAAAAAAAAAAAAAATAAATGAAATAAATATGTGATACATATGGAACTTATAATTTCAAATAAAATTTTATTCAAACTGAAATAACAGCAAAAATTTGCAATCTAAAAGACTAACTAAATCATTTCCTAAAAGCATTCAAACAGGTCATATGTAAATATCTATACAGCCATTAGTTCAATGCTTCAAACATAAAGCACATCAACATATCAGTATTTATATTATAATCATTAGTTCACTGTTAGTTATTTTCCTTTTCACATTCTTCTGCGGAGGGAGAAACTAGTTAGATCAAATTATGATGATTAGAAAGAAACTTATTAATTTGTTAATATGTTAACATGCAAATCACAACATATACATATGTTCAGAAAGGATTTTTTCTTTTTCATGCAGACATTTAGTTTATAATGAATAAACAGAACTTGTATTCAAATGTTATCACTGGTTTGGGGTATATAAATAGGTATTGGCAAATATTCTATTCATGCTCCAACATTGGAAACTTTATTACTTTGTCATTAAACAAATTTCTCTTTTCATCTTCATAGACCAATTGTAGATATCATCACCAGTAAGTATACTGGTATTTTCCTATATAGATATATCAAGAAAAGGTTTTGAAACTAAAAGGAAATCAAACATATTTTTTTCAAATCTTTCTATCAAAATTTTCCTACTTGCTTTGCTTGTATCTAATTCAGTCTTTTTAATAATATATATATATACATATATCCATTTTAAAAACAACAACATAGGATGTGCCTTAATATATTTGAAGAAAAAATTCCTTTTAAAACACTAACCAAATAACAATCTGACCTAACATAACTTCCTTCAGTATTTCTGTCATTTTTATGAAAGTCCTTTTAGAATCATGCTGACATACCCTATCATAGACAAATATATCTATTGTTAGTAGATTTTACCATGAAACATCTCTCAGTACTTTCTTGATCATCCAGCCAAGACCACATATCATCCATGAGGGTTAAAAGAAAGTTAATATATATATAATCATTGCACATCATAAAAGTTAATTACATATGGCTCTGGCATCAGATTTGGAACGTGGTCTAAAGGAGTCAAAGAATCCTTGTGGACCACCCTCTTTGCGACGGCTGCTTGCAACATTGCTCCCGTTGTTCGATGTGGCAGCAAGAATGTCGTCACCTGACTTACGGCGCTGGCGGAAGGAGGCTGAAACAGTGAGGGTTGCAACATCTGTTATTTTGGGTGAAAGTCCTTTCCACACTGTCTAAAATTAAAGGCGTGCGTGTTTTTAAAAGTCATTTATATCTGTCAAGTCCTTGTGCATCTTGGTCCATCTTTTCATTCTATATTTCTCAACTGTCTTGCATTTTATACACTGGTTTAATTCATTAAAATGTATGGTTCCAATGTCAGTCTCTTGAAGCAGTCTACATACTACTACATATATCTTGTGTGCTTATATATGATCTGTGCATACCTCATTACCAATCTTAATAATTTAGATGCAATCACACATCATAATACATAACAATTTTGCCAGGGACACTAATTTTGCTTTAACATCAAAAACAATATACATTGTAAACATACTTTGCTTAACATTTATAAGCATCTATGAAATTTAAACAATCACTGAATCACTATAAAGTATTTAGCCAACTACAGCTATAAATATACTTTTCTATACTTTTTCAACTGCATAAACAAATAATAATAACCACAATGATTTTCAAACACAATATCTTATCAACTAGGGTTGTAAAAGTACACCTGTGCAGCAATTGCAAACATCATATATAATATTTTTAAATCTTAAAGCTGTCTATTGTAACTTTGTGAAACATCATCCAAAGAAAATAGTGAAAAGTTCAGTCAAGTCTGAAAAATAGAGTCTAAACATATGTGAAAAAATAAGTTCAGATCTTACCATTTAAAAACATAATCTAATCAAAATAATAAAAAAGTACACACTACCAAACATGAAGTCAAATGGGAAAAAAAGGTTTCCTATTCTTTATCAGATCATTACGTCATGTACATAATCATATAAACCATCAAATCAAAATACTGTATAAATAAACTATTCATCCAATAATCTTTTATGTAAAATACTATCAAGACAAAATGTAAAGCCTATAAACCTGAAAATAAGGAAATAAAGATTATATACATGTCCCCTTTTGATAGACATTCTTCTACAAAGAGAAATAAATAAAATAAATCAATTCTTCAATGAATATTTTTGTTTGGAAATACCAAATAGAAGATGAAGAATACGACTGAAAAATAGTAAGACCAGAAATTAAAAACACAAACTTAAGAAAGGTTGATAACAAACAAAGAAAATAAAAGAGGGAAAAAAATTTAAAATCAAATTACTAATAAAAAAGAAAACTGTGCACGTATGAACTCAATACACCTGAGCCACAGTTTCTGTCTGATCCTCATTGTCAAGGATGTCTAAATGATTTGTGTAGTATGGGAAAGTT